TATATATATATATATAAGCAAAAGGGTAGTCACGACTGACTAGTTGATACAAACGTTGAAAAAGTATTTTAGGGTTGCAGTCGGAAAAAAGTGAAGTGGCCAAGAATAAAAATAAACACTCTTCGTTATATCGTCGAGCTTTCGGAAATTTTTATTTCCTTTTTCAAGACATCTATAATAAATTGATATTACAAACAAAATACATTAAATTTTTGTAAAATACTTCCTAACATGAGATTAGTTTAAAAATAGGGTTCATTACACACAATAAAAACATAAAACATCAATGATGATTATTAAATTATTATAAATCTTTACCTTTTATACAATTACCAACTCCAAAATTAATAAATGTTTTTAAAAATTTAAATATTCGGTTTGCAAATAGAAATATCAAAACTGGCTCTGAATTATTTTCCAAAATTAAATCTTCTGTTAAAACTCTTGAAAAATCCAATGTAGTTTATAAAATTCCATGTCATAACTGTAATAAATCTTACATAGGTCAGACTTCTAGAACCCTAAAAGGGCGTATTACGTCACATAAAAGTGACTGTAGACTTAATAAAAAATCTTGTGGTTTATCTGAGCACGTTGTAGAATCAGGACACCGCATGAATTATGACAATGTCACAGTTTTGCACAGTGAAGAAAATTTATTTAAAAGAACTTTTTTAGAAATGTTTCATATTAACGCCGAAAAAAATAATTTAAATAAAAAATCAGACATTAATAACTTAAAATTTATACTTACATTTTAAAAATTGAGATTGAAAAAAGTTCTTTGCAAAATTCAAATTTGCCGCCAGAGTCAAGGCTGGCAATAATATCACATTTCTCTGTTTTCTTTTTGGATTTTGTATTCAAACGTCAGTAACGGCTGAAATTGTTTTATGTCTGTCCACATGAATTTCGATTTTAACTTTGTTTTTAATAATCATCATTGAGGTTTTATATGTTTTTATTGTGTGTAATGAAGCTTCTTTTTAAACTAATCTAATGTTAGTAAGTATTTTACAAAAATTTAATGTATTTTGTTTGTTACAAAATATCGATATATTACAAGATTTACTGGTCATAGGTTACAAAAATTACTAAAATTTAACGATCTTTCAGATAGACTGTATTTCTACGTTCCAGGGAACAGAAAAGGTTTTAGTATCGCCACGCCATCTATACAGAAAGATTTGAACTAACAATTATAACTACAATTTGAAGATATTCGAGGGACCTAACAACCCCAATTTGCGGAACTAAAATAAATTTCTTCATTTCGGAGATATTGACCAGCGGGAGTATTAAATGGCACACCCTGTATATATATATATAAACTTTGTATGGCAACGAGGATGGTATTATTGATTTTATTTAAAAAAAGGGTGCTGAGATGTCATTATAATCTGACAGAAATTAATATAATTAATATTCTTAATAATTAATATAATTAATTATAATTAATATAAGGTCGGTCGATAGCCGCACGGGTTAAGGCGTCAGTACTTAAATCGGTTGCAAATTTCTGCCCGGGTTCGATTCCCGCGGCCGGTAGACCGTAGATTAGCTATGCTTGTACGGAGGATTGGCACCCTCTGTGCAGGTAGGTAGGGTGGAAGTATGTTGGCTTGGGTCAATGTGAGAGATTGACACCGGTTGGCATTTGACCACCCCCCTAATTAATGAGGTTT